GAAGATTCAGATTGAAGATTGAAGATTAAAATTTGACTAGTAAGGACAAAGGAATTTTAGCTTCTATTGTTTTGATTGATCAAATTTCAATCTTTCAATCTTCAATCTCAATATTCAATGCGTAGTCTGATTCCGGCCTGAGAGTCAGCCTTAGTTAGTAGCAACAATAACAATAATAATAATAATACAATAATATAATAATAGTTAAATATAGACGATTGTAGTCAATTATAGCTATTACGGTCAATTCTTATATTTAAGACCGTCTTAATTTAAGTACAGTCTTAAGATGTCACGAACCAATCAGAGAGCCACATCATATCATATTAGTATCTTAAGACATTACTTAAGATATGAATACTGTCTAATATATAAACATTTTTTAATGCAAATTTTTTGTAAGAGATTTTAATTAGTGAATTTAGTTACTCACAATTCGCATTACTGTATATATTCCAAAAGTTTTATATATATGTGTTTGTGTATATATATATTATTATATATAATATATACATATATATATATATACTCTAAGGCCGGTATTCATAGTCGGTTCTTATTTCAAGACCGTCTTATGCTTGGTTTATGCTTCGGTCTTAATCCTAAAATCTTAAAATTCAGCCAATAGGGCTACCAGTCTTAATTGGTCCTAACAGAAATCTGTATTTCATTGGCTGAATTTTAGGATTTTAGGGTTAAGACCGAAGCATAAACCAGGCGTTAAGTAATATCTTAAGAAGCTAATGCGGCCCTTTGGTTGATTCATGACACCTCAAGACTGAACTTAAGACGGTCTTAAATATAAGATCTGATTGTGAATACCGGCCTAAATTACTCTAAAGGCTACTATTCATGAAAGTTATTTAATAATAAGGATTCGCCATGCTGATGTACTTATTTTTGTTCCGTGACGTTATCAGGTTTATTTACCTGTGACCGGGAATTATGGTGTTCTATTATTATAAATAAACACTGATATTTCGAATATTTCGATCAAAAATATATATGGCGGAAAGCACAGTTAAACATTCTACTGACCACTTGTCAGAGCTGGACGAGAAACAAAGGATAATCGATGGAAATCCTTTTTGTTACTTGAAAATTAATGATACGAGGGAACTAAAATTGGTCGAATCTAGAAGAAAGTGCGATTTATGTCAAAAATCACGAAAATTTTTCTGTTACACCTGTTACCATCCTGTTCTTTCATGTAAATATTATCCACGAGTGAAGGTATATATTGATTGCCACTTGAATAAAACTGAATTATTATAAATTTAACGTTAATTTAATCCTTCTATCATGATATGGATACCCGGATATTTTCTGTGTAAAACACAGTAATGAAAAAGTGAAAAATTATGCATTGACAGCCCAAGCAGAATACAAATCATACATCAGAATGAAATAAAAAAAGGTTCCAAAATAATTAATAAAAATCACTTTTCAATCAGTAACGATTCATTTTAATATCATTTTAATATTATTGTGACTTGGTGTCTTGCTTGAAAGAAAGATTAAAATGTATTCTGTACCATTGTGTTCCAGTTTTATAATTACTCTGCATTACTTTTTTTCAGTTGCCAATTAAAATCGACATTATTAAGCACCCTCGCGAGATACCTGGCAAGAGCACAGCTATCCATGCCGCGATCATTGCACCGGCGGATGTAAAAATCTATACGTATCCAGATTTTCCAGAAATATCAAATAAAGAGGAAGTAAGAAAAGTAATGATAATCTACTTTCAAGTCCTTCAATTCTTAATTGGTTCTTAACTCGATGGATGCTACTTTCAGACTGTTTTAGTTTTTCCTGGCAAAGATAGTGCAAAGAATATAAGTGTTAAGGATCTTTTTATAAGAAAAGAAGGAAAAGATGATGCTTCAGGAGAAAGAACAGAGACTGTATGGCCCATAAAAAGGGCTATTTTCATTGATAGTACATGGCATCAGACCAAATCAATATACAAAGACCAAAGATTGAGAGGTAATAAATAAGAAAAAAAAATTTGGTTTTTATAATTATTACAAATCTTTTATGTCACTGTTAAAAAACTTACTATTTTTATATAATTGACACAGAACTACGTTGCGTGGTATTGAAGTCAAGAATTTCTCAATTCTGGCGTCATCAAAAGGACAGTCCAAGATGGTATTTAGCGACAATTGAATCAATTCATCAATTTTTAGTGGAATTACACACATGTGCTGTTGGAGTGGATGAGGACTATGAAGAGACTATAAAAAGATATCTAGATGTAAATGATATTATAAAGAATACACGTTATACGGATTACACACATCAATACTCTGTAATTAATAGCGAAGAATTAATGCAGAAATACAATGGACAGTATGATAATCTTTTATACTTTTTTAAATACATGTTTGAACATATTCATTCCATATACAATCGTAATCAATTAAAAGCTTATAAGAGGCCACTTTCATAATTACATTTCGTTAGATTAAGTTCGTTTATATTTGATTAGGGTTGCTAACACAAATTTTCAATAACCATGCTTACATTATGTTTCTGCAAATTGTAATACTTCTAAATTGTGTGTGTGAGATATATTATATACTCTTCTAAAATTATATGGGAAAAACATATTGAATTCAGTGCAATATTACAATTTTAAATATTTCTATTTTAGAATTGCTTTTATAGTTCGAGATTTATAGTATGCACAAATATGTGACATATTTCTCAAATTCAAAAATGTTTTGCAACCTTTTGTTTTTGTACTTAAATATACCGTAAGATGATAGTAAAATATAAATAAAATAAAATTATTTTTTTAGTGTACTATGGTTGTGCTAAGTACATTTTTATTCTTAGTTTGAAAAATGCTAAAAAGGTTTATTTTGTATTATATGTATTTATATATATATATATATCATATAAACAAATCCACAACAGTACATATGTACCTCATTGAAATTTTAATATCAAATGTATATAATTCAGGTAGTATTACCTTAGATTTGTTGGCATCGCATGCTCCAACATGTTCCAATATGCTCCTACCATAGCTCTTACTCACTCCAATGCACTTAATAGAGTGAGTAGGAGCTATGATAGGAGCATGTTGGAGCTTGCAACAAACCTCTTGTTTTATATTAATACGTTTTATAATAATTACATACATTTTATATTGCAAAAGACAAAATTCATCTACTGTTAAAGGCTTTCAAAGAGCGACTGACAAATTCATAACAGAAAGTGGAAAATGTAATCAAATATGTCGGTGCTAGATATGGCAAGAAATGTAAACATTTTTTTTCGATTTCTCTGAAACGGAGCAAAAACGAGCATATGTCTATAGGACTTTTTTTCTTAGTTTTTTACTCCTCTACACGCTCCCGAAGTTTTGCGATTTAATTTGGAAACACCCTGTATATCTTTTTTAGAATTCTTTATATATACAATTATGAAATCTAAGTATAATCGAAGAAAACTTATAAAATCCGAAGTGATCTGAAGAAATTTAGATATGACGTTAGATACAACGTCTTTCGATTGAAGCTACGATTCTCAAAGACAAGCAGAGAACGACAACGGAAAACGGGATCAAAATGAAAAAGATACCAACGTATCGAATCGGCATGAAACGAACAAGGAGGAATATTGAAAGACCGAAAAAGAGAGAGAGAAAGAGAGAAAATTGATGACCGTTATGCACGATACTTTACGGGACAAGGAGGAATATTGAAAGACCGGAAAAGAGAGAGAGAAAGAGAGAGAATCGTTGACCGTTACGCACGATACTTTATGGGTCTGTCGTAAGCTGAAACCATAGCCGATAGATATCTTAATGAAGTACTTGCATGGCTACGTGCAGGTAGTCACGGCTGTAACAGGGTCACGATCAGTATCACTCTGCTCTTCGTCGAGTAACATCGTTCGGATGTTCCGTCTCTTTATTTATCGATTGATCAGCAAATTTAATATTCGCGACCTGCTCGCATTTATTAGTATTATATATTTTTCAACGAACAAGTTTCACTTCAATGTTTCAATACGACGGAAGAATTATCTTTATACATTTTTCACAGCTCATCAAAAACTGTTGCTGAATGTGTTTAGAGCGTACTAATACAATACATATTTGCTTTCGTGTTGTTAAATTTATAAACATCGGAAACGCACGCAAGCGGATTGACTTTGGTAAAATCTAAATAAAATTCGAAAGAAGGTAGGCAGACAATTTAAGGCAAATTTCTCTTTTTATCTCTCTTTCTCTCTCTTTTGTGATAATAGAAATTCTATGATTAAAGAATGGGGATTATTTAATATGATATATATATATATATGTACGTTAAAATCATCTATATATAACTTAAGCTTCTTTAGAAAAAGAAAAATAGTTCGTACTCTGATAAAATTCTAAAGTTTATAGCAATGAGAAGTTCAAAATGCGGATTTAAAATATTAAAGTTATAATAACTTGCAATATTTCCATTATATTATCGTATATTTTATTACAAGGAGTGATTTTATCAATAAGTAGAGACGGTAAAAGAATAAGATTGTTACATTTATAAGGACGATATTCATAGTCGGTACTTATTTCAAAACCACTTTAGGGCCAGTTTCACTCCGATTAACATGATGATTAATCGATTAAGTGTCAACTATGGTGAATTCTATTTAAAGACAAATGCAATTGATCAGTTTCAAGAATAATTGGCCGATCAAATTAATTGGAAATGGTGAAATCAGCCTTTAAGTAATATCTTAAGATGTTAATATACAGCTTTGTGATTGGTTGATGATATTTTAAGATTGTATTTAAAATAGTCCTAAATATTGCAATTTATTTTAATTTATCCGAATTCATGGTTTAGAGTCTGAAGCTGGATTGAAATGAATTGAAATAAATTAATATCTGATGGCATTCGTTTCTATTCATAAAACGGATAGAAAATAAAACAATGACTTGAAAATAAATTTCCTGTAAATATTCTTTTGATTTTACAATAACATTTATAATTCCTTCTTTATAAATATAATATTTTTATATTCATTTCGGTCGAAACAGGAATATTCTTATTCCATACTGCACTCGGATATAAATTCAGAACTTACATATCTATTTTCGTCATAACTTTTTTTATTTAAATAAAAATGTGTATAATTTTTATAATTTTGAACTAGGATGTATTCATGGCTACTTATTTATAACATAAATATTTTTGGACTCAATTGGATAGAAATATGAAATGTGCGCTATTTAACATGTTGAATTTGAATGATTTATGTTCGTATTATATAATTTTTTTATTGAAATGTGTGTGTGAATTAAAATATAAAATGAGCTATTCATCATGTTAAATACGGATATATATATATATATATATTAGCTTATTTTATGTCTTTATATTTTATTTTATTGTATATATTCATGTCCATATTATATTATTTTTTATTGAAATGTGAATTAAAATACGAAAGAGCTATTCATCATATTGAATTCAGATGTGTTCATGAATTCAAATGAATTTGAAAAATCAAAAGCGCGAATTCGGAAATGTCGAAATGAATTCATTTCTATTCATTTCAATTTATTCTCGTTTATTGAGATTAAAACTTTTGAAACGTGTAAATATTTCAAGATATTGGAAACTTCTAGAATGTACACGTTCTCCGTTGTTTTTCAGGAAGTAGGCAATTGAACCAGTACAGCTTTCCTTTTCGAAGCTGTTTAGCTTGTGTTAATTCCTTTGTTTTGTATTAATACGAGCAATGTTTCACATTTCCGTGATTTTCTCATCTTTACTTATAATTCGGTCTCTGAATTTTCTCATCTCTCTCTCTCTCTCTCTCTCTCTCCTTCTATAATTTCATTAAACTCCTAGTATGTTGGCAAAAGAAAAATACGTATTAAAAAAAAAAAAAAAAAGTTTATTATAAGAGTCACGTGTGTCATTTTAGCAATTTCCAGAAAGAGATCAGACTTTTAAAATAAATGTACATTTTATTTATAAACTTTTCACATGACATAAAGGTTACATTAATTTGTTTAGTTAATACCACCGTCATAATATAATAAAAAATCAACGAAGGAATGCATTATCATCACACTTTGTGCAAAACGTATCTTATTGTGATTTCTTACACGACAATCTGTTAAACAAATAAAATTATTTAACAGTAGGGAATTGAAGAACATTTACGAAATAATTATGAATAACGCGGATGCATACAAATTCGCTTGAAACGACTTACAGATTTGAAAGTTTCATGAGTAATTGATATTCATTTTGCGCTGTCAGATTGCTCAGACGTGGCTTCTTCTTTGTCAGTTTCTAACGTAATGATTGCCAATTTATTTTAACAATATAGCACGTTAATCGGTTATATGTTTTCTAGAAAAGTCCTCAATTGTCTTAATCGAAAAAAAGAGAATAAATAACACTATTATTTATATCATTCGCACGAAAAAACATTCTTTGAGAAAGTTGTAATGCTGTTACGTGACAATCGGAAATATTTTTGATAAAGCATCTTCTTTAGACAGAGAGAGTAGAAATTTCTTAATTAAAGAGTCACATTCACGAATTAATAAGTTACAATTTAGAGCTGTCCAAGGTCGGTGTTTTTTGGCTTGAAATCGAAATATGTCGGTATTCACACCTATTATTACCGTTCCTACTTTTTCATTGCTGTTTTGTCATAGTGTGCGACGCTCGATCTTAGGGACGATACTAGTTTGAAATCGTTAAAAGTTTTTATGCTTTGTACATTGCCAATATGTTTAATTTTCAAGCAGTGCGCGAACAATCGTCGTCAGCAAGATCCGAGAACCAAGAACTATCAAACGACTTTATATACATTTATTTTAGAGTTCAATAACTATTCGGTGTCCTTCTGTTAGTTTCCAATAATTTATTGATCATAAAAGATGAATAATTTCCGAATTATCTGTGCCATTCGAGATTGGACGTACTAATGACGTCTATTAGACGTCTTTGGGCGGCACATTGTACGTGCGAAAGATATTTACGGGATTTGGTTTGGACGTCCAAGTGACGTCGATTGTTGCTTGGGGAGTAGAAACGGTATTGAATACCGTGTGAACGGGTGTGAATACCGACACATTTCAATTTCAAGTAAAAAAATACCGACCTTGGACAGCGGTATAATCGTATAATAAGAAAATAAATACTGCATAGTGGAATATTAATACATTTATGAATTTTTGCTCTTCAGTAAGAAGCACCGTAAGAAAATAAAATGGGCATCGAAAGCTTTCTGGCAGGAGGTTTGACTTCAGCATCAACTAGCGGACTTTCATTGTTCTTTCCGATTCTTGCTGCGTCGCTCGCCTATTTTCATTATGAAGTTTTGGATAATGAAGCACCACCAATTGATGTACCGTTAGAGATGCTATTACCCTCGTACCACTTCATAGTAATAGGCGGTGGTAGTGCAGGTACGTGTATGTGTTCGAACTCTCGTTATTTTGAAACACGTGTGCAATATTTCATAATAAGAGCGTAATACAAAGATAAATACACTTTTTCTGTCATTTTCTTCTTTTTCTTTTTGCATCAGGAGCTGTAGTTGCTAGCCGTCTGTCTGAAATTGAAGATTGGAACGTATTGTTGCTAGAAGCAGGCGGTGACGAACCTGAGGTCTCGGACGTACCTCTTTTCGCTGGATATCTTCAACTCAGTCAGCTGGATTGGCAATACAAGACTGAGCCACAGGGTGATGCTTGCTTAGGTATATAACTTTTCCGTTGTCCTTCCATCACCCTTTCTTTCTTTCTTTTTTTATGCTTAATAAAACACTCAGTGTCTATCGGTTTCTCTTTGTCATATTTCTTTTTTACGTTATTAAATATTTGTAGCAATGGAGAACGGCCGTTGCAATTGGCCTCGAGGTAAGGTTCTTGGGGGCTCCAGCGTGCTTAATTATATGCTCTATTTAAGAGGCAACAAACGAGATTACGACATTTGGGAGCAACAAGGTAATCCTGGCTGGGGTTCACGTGATGTCCTGCATTACTTCAAGAAATCCGAGGATAACCAGAATCCTTACTTGATTCGCACGCCGTATCACGCGAGCGGCGGATACTTGACGGTGCAGGAGGCACCGTGGCACACACCCTTAGCGGCGGCCTTCGTCGAGGCTGGTCAAGAAATGGGATACGAAAATCGCGATATCAATGGCGAATTTCAAACCGGCTTTATGATCGCCCAGGGCACTATTAGACGCGGCAGTCGTTGCTCTAGTGCAAAGGCTTTTCTTAGGCCAGTCAGACTCAGGAAGAATCTGCACATAGCAATGCACGCGCACGCGACCAAAGTGCTGGTGCATCCCAAATCAAAGCATACCTACGGAGTAGAATTCGTTAGGGACGGCAAGGTCTTTCGTGTGCGCGCAAAGAAAGAAGTGATTGTATCAAGCGGGGCCATAAATTCGCCGCACCTACTTTTGCTATCAGGAATTGGGCCGAAGGAACATTTGCGAGAGCTCGGTATTCCTGTGATTCAAGATAGCAAGGTTAGTGCTTTAATTTTTTCATGCAAAATTTTTCGATGTTTCTCTCTCTCTCGGAGTCTCCACATTTTTATCGTTTAAAGTTTATATATGCCATATATCAAATAATTTAATAAATCAGTCAAATTTTCAAGCAATATTCATTTTATTTAATTGATACGATTTATTCCTGCGTCTTTAGGTAGGCAGCAATTTACAGGATCATATTGGCTTGGGTGGACTCACATTCATGGTTAATCAAGAGATTTCTATAGTGGAAAAACGGCTCCAGAGTATCCAGACGGTAATGCAATACGCTGTGATGGGCGATGGACCTTTGACGGTGCTTGGAGGTGTTGAGGGCGTCGCCTTTGTCAACACCAAATATGCAAACGCTTCGCTAGACTTTCCCGACATCGAGCTGCATTTCATTTCCGGTTCGACGAATTCGGATGGCGGTAAGCAACTGAGGAAAGTGCATGGACTAACGAAGAAGTTCTATGACGCCGTTTTCAGACCGATCAACAACAAGGACACATGGAGCGTGATTCCTATGTTGCTACGACCAAAAAGTCGCGGTGTAATCAAATTGCGCAGTAAAAACCCGTTCGATTATCCTCTCATTTATCCGAATTACTTCAAGGAAGCAGAGGACATCGCTACATTAATAGAGGGAGTGAAGATCAGTGTGGCTCTGAGCAGGACCAATGCCTTCAAGCGATTTGGAAGCGAGCTTAACTCGCAACAGTTTCCAGGGTGCGAACACATATCCATGTACACTGATCCTTACTGGGAATGCATGATCAGGTACTATAGTTCCACCATCTACCATCCGGTTGGAACGTGCAGGATGGGGCCTTACTGGGATCCCGAGGCTGTAGTCGATCCGCAGCTTAGAGTCTATGGCGTAACTGGATTGCGCGTGATTGATGCTTCAATCATGCCAAATCTCGTAAGTGGAAATACGAATGCGCCAGCAATTATGATAGGCGAGAAAGGCGCAGAAATGATTAAGGAATATTGGTTGAAATTTCCGAGGAACAGATAGTTAGCGAATAATAAGACGAACCTGTACGCTTATCTTCATGACGATGAGTAACGACAATATGTGATAATACGAGAACACTAGTGCTCGACGCGAAGACTTAAAAAAAGAATTGAAAACTCTGGATTTTACAATTTTATTATATTTTTTATAAACATATTAGTATAAGAATTATTCGAACCTGCATATGAGTCATCGTATATTTACGTGTACCTAACATACATACTATGTGCTGAAACCGGAGTTGAGTAGTGCTAAGTTAAAAAGATAAAAGTTAAATTAAAAAGTTAAAAAGTTAATTAATTGTAACTTAACTTAGTTACATTTTAGACTCTTAACTTTTTAACTTAATTTAGTTATATTTTTATTGGTAACTATTAATTTGATTTTTTTTAAGTCAATATATCCTCAGACACAATACGAGAGGATAATGAGTATATAATTTAGTAATTTTATATTGTATAATCATTACTTAATTGTGAACAAAAATAACCAGTGTTTAATAAATATGCTGTGAGAAAGGAAAAATATGAAAAATTATGTAAAATGATTAAATTTTTTTCTTTTTCTTTTTATTTTTGGTTGTTCGTTCGGACCAAATTTAACTTTTAACTTTTCGATTACTTTTTTTATGAACTTAACTTTTAATTCAATTAATTTCATTATGGATTAACTTGTATTTTAATTAAGTTAAATTTTCAAGGCTGTTAACTTTAACATAACTTTGTTAAAAAAAATAATTAACTTACCCAACCCTGGCTAAAACTACAAAAAGGAAGGAGGGCAACCTGCAATAATCTTGACCTTGACATATATTGTCAAAGTCATGATTCTGAGTGGACCTTTAGAAGATTTAGCCATTGTTCCTTATTCGTTAAAAAGTTATTAACAAGTTTCATAAATATATACAGGGTGTCCCATTTTAAATAATGCATTACTCAGGATCTCAATAGGTGTTTTAAGTCTTAAGTCATAAGAAATTGACCAATTATAGTCGAATTCAAGGAGAATTATCGACTACGATTCATCCATTTCTTATGACTTAAGACTTAAAACTTTATTGTAGATCCGGGGTTAAGATTTCTCGAGAACTAGTAGATACAGAAAAATGTTTCAAACAAAAGTTGTATGGTTTGGAGAGAGACATGAAAAGGTATCATTGATTTGACCTTGGATAGCGTCGCCAAAGCCAGGTCAAGGTCACGTCGATTTTTTAAAAATGAAACCCCCTATTTTTCATTATATTTTCGGGTCATTCGGGTCGCGCGGGTTGTTCGGGTCGTGAGGATAAGTCCGGATCTACAATAGGGTTTCAAGCCTTAAGTCATAAGAAATTGACGAATCACAGTCGATTATTCTCCTCGAATTCGACTGTAATTGGTCAATTTCTTACGGCTTAAGGCTTAAAACACCTATTGTATATCCGGACTTAAGCAAGACTTAAAAACTCTCTATCTCGTTTTAAAGCGAAAGAGAGACAGAGACATGCACCTATTGAACGCACTCAGTGGCTACGTTTACACCGTGCGCTTAGTCCGCGACCTATACGATAGGTGTCTTTGTTTAACCTACAGGATAAACAAGGACATCTATTGTATAGGCCGCGGCCTAAATGTACGGTGTAAACG